TAGTAGGTTGGAGGCCATCGCTAGTATGTTGGAGGCCCTCGCTAGTAGGTTGGAGGCCATCGCTAGTAGGTTGGAGGCCATTGGGTTAAAGGGTGATCTTCGGAAACTTTACGGTTCTTTTTTGAAAACTAGTCTTCGGAAACTTTACGGTTTTCTTCGGAAACTAATGTTCGGAAACTCGGAAGAGTCGAAGAGCAACATCAAGCCTGCACGAAACAGTTTCTGCACCTAGTAAAAACGGCATGTATATACTATATACCGTAGCCGTCACAAGGTACGTCAATAACCCGCCCACCCCCCACCCCCCACCCACCCAGTGCTCCTTCATGCAAGTTGGTTACAATATTGTAAAAGTTCTGAAGAAGACTTTCTAAAGCATGCAAATAAGTGTCTGAAGATCGCGAATAGTTTCTGAAGAATAGTTGCGGAAGAAACATTTCAGAAGAATGGAGAGTTGCGGAATAGGACTTTGGTCGAGGCCATTGCCATCGCTAGTAGGTTGGAGGCCATTGCCATTAGAAACAAAGAAAACAATGAAAGGAAGAAAGGTCTAATATAAGCACATTGCCCCAAGCCCCATGGCAGCCTCTGCCGGTCCCAGGAGCTGTGTGGTGGAGGTGATGTCATCCTCCGGCAGAGACTAAACCCGAAGTGCACTTGTTCCTAATAGCTTCTTGTTACTACCAGTAAGGCACTTGTTACTACTAGCGATGCACCTGTTACTAGATCTTGTTACTATATAAGGCACTTGTTACTAGAAGCGATGCACTTGTTCCTAATAGCTTCTTGTTACTAGGTTCTTGAGGAAAAAGTTGAGTCGTTTGTTTCATGATGAAGCAAGCAGCCAGGGCCATCTCAAAGGTTTAACAAATCACGAGCTGTCTGATAGTCAAATGTTTGAATCACCGCATTTTCAACTCAATGCTGGGCGGCGCCAGAAGATGCAAATCCCTGGGTGAATCTCAGCGAGTTGAGTACTGAGCTGCTCGTCGTATGCCAAGGCTGCAGCATGGATTGCTGCGCCATTCATAGCCTGTTGTCTTGTTTCTTTCTCTCCACAATTTAGAATAGCTATTCTCTTGGTGCTCATCTCCAGATTCTGCCACACCTGAGCCCATGCCTTCGGGCTGGTGCCGAAATCCGTCAAACACATGGTCACATCAAAACTGGTCCAAAGTCTGATCTCCTCAGCGTGCAGTCGCAGTTGCTCCACCACATTCTTGCTCAACAACTTGATGTTGGTCGATGGATCAAAGGCATAGGCCTTCACTAGACCAGTATCATTTAGGAAGATGGCTGCAGCCCCAGCTCCAGCGCAGAAATCTGCCACCTGGCTATCTCGTGGCAAGACATAGCGCAGCAGCGATCGCAGCAAGGGTTTCGGCACATTCCACTCCTCAAAGGTGTCTCGTCGTAGCACCTCGATGGTTGAAAGAGCAACCCCGTCTGCTTCATGAACATCAAAGGGTGGTAACGGCGGACCTGGCCTCAGTGGGATCGTGCCAGTGCTATTAGCCTCCAGGGTTGAAGCTTTGCAGACTGACCCAATGTCGAAGAAGACAACGGAGATGCTTGAGAGTTCAAACAAATAGATGAAGGATCAAGAAGGTGGTTGCTTGAGAAGGCAAGCACAGAGTCGTGCTGGACTTAGAATTGGACGATGGGGCAGAATAGAAGAGAAATACTCCAATTTCACAAAAAAGCTTGACTTGTCCCTCCAGATCTATATTGTACAATATACTGGCAAGAGATGCCAAACGGCTGATCCAACAGATTCAAAAAAAAGCACAACAAATCATCAGGTTCAAGCGCTCAAGCACAACTGCACTGTTCAACCAGCACCTGCAAAATGTGGCTCACAGACGCTTGTGTTACAGGTTTTTCGAACAGCAGTTGAAGAGTGCGATGTTGAGTTGTCTTGCACGAGAGCTGTTTTGAGAACTGACCATCCTCACTTTTCAACAAACGCTCACACCAACGTACTACGACCCAAGCCAAACACCTCCAATGTACTACGCCTCCCTTTCTGTCCCTTAAAATTGCCGGCATGGCCTCCTGTGGGATCTGGGAAGGACATGTCGACACCCTGGCCTGGCCTGTACTACGAGTTATTCAAGCACCTTCTGGCTCTGACTGTAGAGTACCACCTAGTAGCGATAGCCTCCAACCTAGAAGCAATGGCCTCCAACCTACTAGCAATGGCTTCCAAGCTCTGACATTAACCTTTCCTTTCCAAAGATCCGTTTTTCGAAGCATGCCAAAACATAGCTTCAAGAAAGTGTCCAATGCTGCAGACACACAAGCTGTTTACAGAAAATGGTTCAGGGGTGGAACGACAGACACTTCTGGCATGCAACAAAAGAGCACGAGAAATCGAGAAACCTGACAGAAAAGCACCAGAACCATCAATTGCTCAACACGCAAGTCGTGGGGTTGTCGGGTTCTTTCACTACTCAGGACAAGGACAGGAGCTTCATTCAAGAACCACGCTACTGGTGGCTTCCTTACCTACCTTCTTGCTAGCAACTAGCTTGCCTTGGAACTGCCTGATCCCACCTTCTACCTCTCCTACCTCTCCTACCCCTCCACACCAAAAAATGGAAGTGGTGTGTCACAAAGTAACCGTGTTGACAATTCCCCTCACCAACTCCGTCCGTTTGGCCATCGGCCTCGATCTCCTCCTTGGAGCGCCAATTCACCATGATCGACTCGTACGTTCGGATGTCGGCCTCGAAGAGCTCCACCACCTCACTGAGCCATTTCCCTGCTCCCTGTCTCACCAATTCGGCGGTACCCTGGAAGACCAGCCATAGATGACGCAGTTGGGAGTGCAAGAGATGCTTCATTCGTCGCAGACTCATCAAAAAGAGAAGCTGCAAATGTTCGTTCAAACATTCCGGACGAGCTCCGGACAAGATCCCATGGATGTGAATGTGCGCTGAAAGCAAGGAGGCAGCTTGCGACATGTGGGTCATTGCCCATGCACTTGATCCACCAACCGCACCCTGCAAGCGAAATGCCTCATCCTCTGCTGAGAAGTTGCCTCGCACGTAATCCAGCTGCATTCGTATCCGATCCCTGGACAAATAGACATATTCCAAGAAATCTGAACAATTCAATGACTCATTCAGGGCAAAGTCAATCTGACTGTCCCAGTCTCTCAAATGCATATCAACTGATGTAGTGAAGGCGTCTGACATTTGACAAATTGGACGCTCTAAGCCTGCGCTGGAAGCGACTAGTGACACTAGTGTCAGCATCGCGACATGCCATGTCTGTCCCATGGCAGCTCCGTACAACTTCATATCATCTCTCTGAGCGAACAACGAAGCTGAGCCCCTGTGCTCGGCTCTGTAACCCCCCGCACTTGAGCACAAAGAGTCAACAATGACCATGACATGATCATTCTCGAGAAAAATCGGCAGCTACTAGGGTGGAGGCCATCGCTGTTAGGTTGGAGGCCATCGCAACGAACGGAACCAGAAGCTACGAACGTCGTTGGCCAGGCTGCTCCGATCGAAGGGAATCTCTCTGCGTGTTTCACTGGCCTGTTCCATCTGCGTGTCAGTTGAAGACGTCATGATGTGAGCCTCAAACTGTTCCGAAAGACGAGGTCGAAACTGTGGATCCCAAGTTCGACCGTTCGACCTGATGCCTAGTTGGTCTCCCTTTGCTGAACCAAACATCACAGCCAAGGCATTAGTACCAAGCAAAAAGAAAGAGACTAAAATATATAGGAGAAAGGATGAGAAAGGATGAAATACATGTACCTGAAATAGAGCCCCTAGTAGCGTCCTTGCTCCTAGTAGCGATGCCAGGAGGCCCTAAAGTACCTGCTTTGACCAGCTCACATTCTGACCAGCCTTTTCGATCTCGAGCTCTGCACCTTACTGCGGTGCCAAAAGCAAGAGCGAGTGTTTGTTTCGATATTCTAAGATGAGGCCTTCCAGGGGGCGTCTTCAGTCTACTTTAACCGTCTCTTGTTCTTTACGCCTTCAGATCTTTCCTTTTTGTGCTACCAGCAAGGAAGCCCTGAAAACCTTTTCCAACTTGCCAAGAGTCTTGGATTGATTGTGATCTTACAGCTGGGCTGGAGCAAAAACCACAAGAAGCCCGCTATAGAACCTTACTAGTCTACTAGAAGCAAGAAGCTACTAGGCCATCGCTGTTAGGGTGGAATCCAACGTGACCAGGGTGGAGGCCATCGCTAGTAGATTCGAGGCCATCGCGATTAGGTGGGAGGCCATCGCTACTAGGGTGGAGATCATTCCTACTAGTAACAAGAAGCTACTACCTTTTAATCTTACAACTGGGCTTGAGCCAAAATCCACAAGAAGCCGCTATAGAACCTTTGAAAGTCCTGCTGTTTGAGGCTCTAGCTGTTGAGCTTGTTTTGAATCTCTTGCAAAGCCTTCTTTGCTGCAGCTTTCTGCTCGAATTCCTCAGTAAACTCCAATGCCACCAACTTCAAAAGCCATTGAGGCCATTTTGTTCTCTTCATTTGACTGTGTCCAGAACGTTCAAAAAGGGTCCTAGCGCACCCCGCCTGCCGGAAACGCTTCAAGGGGTTCAGCCTCTTAGCCGCTTCGGCCAGTCGCTTTTCCATGGCCTCAGTCGGTGACACCGCTCTTGTCAGTCAGTGCAAAGTAGGTTGGAGGCCATCGCTAGGCCATTTGGAGGCCGAAAAAAGGAGCTCCTTTGTGTAAAGAGGATTTAAGTTGACCTTGGAGCTCCAACATCGTTTCTACGCAGCTTAGGTCGAAGCTTGGAATTCTTGCATTGCCACACGTTTGGCTTCAGGGGCAAAGCGCTTTGTTTCTCCCAAGCGATTGGAGACCAGCTTTCTCGCCTGACCAGCACGAGTTTGAGGTGGCTCCGCATGAACTTCGCCTACTATGGCCTCCAAGAGATCAGCTGAAGCTTTAGTTGCAGACCTCAGTAGGCTGAAAGTGCAGACCTTTGCTTTGCGTGTTTGTTGCAGACCTAGTTTGTCCTGCTCGTTAGGCCCAATAGGCTGCGGGCGTCTCAATGTCTTGAATGGCCTGCACTTGATGTGCCTCGCTGGTATCAGTCTCGTCATCCACACTCATGGCTGCTGCAAGGATCGCCACAGTCCTGCAGAGTTCATCAATCTGCAAAGTAGCTCATACTCCGGAGACTTATCTTAACTATCTTAGAGTCTTGTAAGTAGTTGGGTGTTGGGCTCAGCTATCCCTACCAGGCACTACTAGTTAGTAGCAAGTCAGATATGGAATGCCAACCCTGAAACCCCTTGCTCTCTCCAAAGACTCGCCGTTCGCGCTATCTATCTATCTATCTATCTATCTATCTATCTCTCTGTCTGTCTGTCTGTCTGTTTGTCTGTCTATCTGTGGATGAGTTCTGCTTGTGCAATTTCCAGGTGTTGGCCTTCGATACTCAGAACCTACGAAGCGTGAAGCGTTCTTTTGCACTGCTACTTGCAGAGTCTTGCAGAGTCTTGCAGAGTCTTGCAGTCTGGAATGTCCAATAACTCTTGGGCAAGAAACAAACAAATGCTTTATAGGTCTTAACTCACTAGCACTAGGTAGGTCTTGGTCTTTTAGTATTGCAAGAGCCCCAAGGGTCCCTCTGGTCTTGGCTTTTGCATGTACTAGCGATGGCCTCCAACCTAAGAGCTTGAAGAAACAACAACAAATACAGTAAATAAGCATACAACATATATAACTATATTGTATGTTGTGCTCTTTATGTTTTTTTAGATCATGATCATATGATCGATTTAGTGTTTCTTTCTTTATGTTTGCTTTTGACGCCTCTTTGGTCTAGAGCTGAGTGTTGGACTCGACTGCATCTTCTGCTTGGGTGACAATCTCCATCGCCTTTCGACGGGTTTCGACGGTTTCGACGGTTCGAAGGGATTCTTGTTTCTAATAGCTTCTTGTTACTACTAGTAAGGCACTTGTTTCTGGTAGCGATGCACTTGTTCCTAGTAGCTTCTTGTTCCTAACAGCTTCTTGTTCCTAGCAGTAAGAATGCTCCTAGTAGCGATGCCAGTAGCCCCTAGTAGCTTCTTGGTCTGTCCAAAAAAGAACCCTTTTGGTCGAAAGGTGATCGAAACCAGGTCGCATTCTGGAGTTCTGATTTACGCAGTCCGACTGGGTGGAACTTTCCAAACCGTTTCGTCCAATCTGGGCACCTCAGGCAAGGCAGCCTGAAAGGCCCGAGCCTTAGCAGAAAACCCTTCAGAGCCGAGAGCAGAGTGGCAAAAACGGTGAAGTGTGCTCTCAAGCTCCTTGCATCGCGTTGCTCAGCCTCAGCGGCTGCTTCCACTGCCTCGACCTGGCACTTGGATTGCTTGGCGTGAACAATTTCGGACACTTGAGATTTCCAAGCGAAACTGGTACCCCCCACGTTTGAGTCGGAAGCATGGAACTAAGCCACTAAAAGCCACTAAAAGCCACTGAGCCTCACTAAGCCTTTTCTTGACCACTCCGACCCGGAGCCACAAAAGCTCCACTGCGGACTTGAGATCCAGGCCCGCTGCTTCGCAAGCACAGCGTCGGCCCTGACCTGGCGAGGAAAGCTGCAACTCTGGATTTGGGCCTAAAGCAGATTTCTTGCCGGTAGTAAGGCTTGTAAGGGACCTGGTGACTTGTGACATGTAACAACTTAGTGATGTTGAAGATCTTGAGGCCTCAAAATATCTGATGAAGCCTCTGGCGTCAGTAGGAAGGGGCAGGTCACATCCAGACCTCAGGCCTTCAAGAAGAGCTTTTTGTTGCAGAAGCATCAGTTCTACTGACGCCCCGTTAGGGCCAAGGCGGCCAAGATTGAAGCCCTTTCAAAACTACTGACCTGTTCTCATACCGACTTCCTCTGAGCTAGTGTTTTTTCATTCAATGCGTTTGTTCATTTCAGCACTCCCTTGTCCAACGGACCTTGGCAAGGTTGTTCTTGACCTTGGCCAGCTCCGCTTCCACCTTCACCAGGCTTTGCCTGAGCCGAGGCCTTAGCAGGTAGATCAAACCTTCCAGGAATATTTGCAGCTACCAGACCTTCACGCAATTCTACAAGTCTTGTTCCTCCCTCCCTCCCTCCCTCCCTCCCCTCCTCCCTCCCTCCCTCCTTCCTTTCTCTAGCCATTCTTTCCTTCCTTGTTTGCTTTCCTCACTTACTCGCAACAAAAGTGCCTTCTAGACGGCATAGGCCTTGACTGTTTAGCAAGAGAGACCCTAAACAATAAGATATTGTTGTCTCTCTTGCTAAACAGTCAAGGCCTATGCCGTCTAGAAAGGACTTGTGCTGCGGGTTGTACCTAAGTGTAATTCACGGAAGAATAGAGCCCCTGATCGCCATTGATTGGAGTACTCCGTCGATGTTCCATGTCATGTGCAGCTTCTTCATATCATGTTCAAAGCCCATCAAGTGGAGCAATGGCCTCCCACCTTGTAGCAATTGCCTCCAACCTACTTGCGGTGGCCTCCAACCTGATAGGGATGGCCTCCAATCTAATAGCGATGCCCTCCACTCTAATATAGCTATAGTCTCCAACCTACTAGCGATGGCCTCCACCCTAAGAGCGATGGAACTCCAACCTAAGAGCGACGGCCTCCAACCTAATAGGGATGGCCTCCAACCTAACCTGTTACTAGTAGCGATGCACTTGTTTCTAATAGCGAAGGAAAGACTCTAAGATGTTCACATCATCCGGGCGAGTTCTCCCAGATTGCTTTGGCTGCAATTTGCTGCTCGAGCTTCACTGAGCTCCTGCCAACGGCAAACAAAAAACAAGGATGTTCGACCAAAAGGATTCTTTTCCGGGTGGCTCTGCCCCCCCCTACTACTTAATATAGTCGGCACCTACTTAATTCAGTAAGGAGGTAAGCTACTAGTAAGTGGACGTGGGATAGCTCACGCTAATCATTTGGTTCTTGGATTTTTAGGCAAACTTATATGGGCCTTTTTTTTCAAAAGAAGCGCCCAAAGATAGGAATGAACAGGTCCGTTCTTTACGCGAACAGGTCCGCTACTCTGCAATGCCTTACCCCTTGTTTAGCTATATACGTTGAAGCCACACTAATGCTAGAACAAGAAGCTACTAGGAAGAAAGGGCATCGCTACTAGGCACAAGAAGCTACTAGTAACAAGGGCATCACCACTAGTAACAAGGGCATTACTACTAGTAGCTGGAAGCTATTGAGTTGGAGGCCATCGCTACTAGGGTGGAGGCTAGTACTACCAGTAGCAACATTCCAAGGACATTTAGGACCGATGCGTTCCAACAGCGTTTCGGACCGATGCCGCCGATGCCCATCTTCCAGAAAGCCCTCTCTAACAGCGGCGGCGAAGTACAGGGCAAATTAATTCACACCAAAGGATCTCGGGAAAAAACACTATGCTTGAACAACAAAGGGCCAGAGGAATCCCACAAAATGAAGCCAAATAGCAACCGAGGACCAAAAACAGCCCTCAACAGCTTGCGATATCTAGGGAGCCTTGGCAAGTTGCTTCTGCTCGTTCTGCACGTTCTCCTGCACCATGTTTCAGAGGTGCAAAATGCAGATCACCCCCCATTCCAGAAATGCAACGTTGCACCTTCAATTCTCTCTTGACCGGAATGTCATGCGATATTTCAAGACACAAATTGCAAAACCAGTCCAGCTGGGAACGAAGGGCTGTATCGGCATCGGCAAGGCTGCTTTCTTCCAACTCCTGCAATATCAGATGCAGCAAGTGCCACGATCTGTTTTTGAACGAGAATCAAAAACATGCTCTAGCCCAACAGGATCGAGTATAAGTATTACCCAAATTGAATCTCATCCTGTGCAGCCAACGTCCGCCGTGTGCTGGCAATCGCCTGCACAAAAAGTTCGGATTTAACGCGATCGACCCCAACAGCTTCCCAAGTCAGAACATCCAAGTCAGAAGCTAGTAGGAACAAGTGCCACGCTAGTAGTAACAGGTGCCGTACTAGTAGTAACAAGAAGCTATTAATTTAATTTTAAATAAACTTCTAAGACTGAGACTGCTCAGTGCAACAGTCCCTCCAAGCCGCTCACACAAAAAGATGTCTTTTCTCTACAGGCTTTGGAGGCCATCGCTTACTAGGTTGGAGGCCATCGCTTTTTGGTGGGAGGACAAACCAATCCAAGCTACACTGGTAGGTAAAAATGCCCAAACAGCAAATGGCCCAGTGCCGGTCACCACCGACACAATGAGACAACCCGACACCAATGCGCTCACCCCAAAGGGCCAGAGCGGCTATTAGGATAGAATTGAAGCTTGCAGCTAGAATAGGAAGCTCCAAAAAAAATGTCGCGCATTAATCCCCCCAAACCCCAGACGGCATCTTGGATCAAACAACTTCACTTCGGCGTACTCGTCCCTCCATCTCTTTGAAGCGTCAACCGGATGGAACGCTAGACAAGCAGAGTGGGCACGAGAGTCACAGAGGTTCAGAGTTCGCTTTTGGAGTTGGCCTAAAAATTGTGATCAGGTCCTGGTAGGGACTCATCCCTCACACACACTTCTGGCTCATCTGCGCATGCACTTCTTTTTGTTACATGATAGTCGCCACGTTCCGCACACACAACTGTTTCATCTGCGCACACATCCACTTTCGAATGCCACATCTGCGCGCATCACCTCTTTTGGTCTTTTTCAAAAATGGGGGGGCAATTTCATTTGTGTGAACAGCCACCACGTAACTTTCCAACCTTGGCTTGGGGCCGTGGGGGTGAGGGGAAAGGTCCCTCGCAGAGGTCATGGAGTTATTGCAAAAAAGTGTTCCAACATAAACGATTCAAAGATAGCAAGAGGGGACCCCAAAAACAGCAACAGGGGGGCCGGGTGCAATTACATTCGCATTACAAATGCAAGTGGCCACGCGCCCCTCTTCGAGTGCCCTTTCCAAACCTACAGCTGTGGGGGCATGCATGTGTATGGTAGAGGACTTGTGCGTGTTCGGTGATGCCACTTGCAACAGTGTGAATAAATGCTCGCAGAACCCAAACGAAACAATGGATGAATCCCTTCCATAATTCTCTAAGAAAAAGATATTTGCTTGGATTTTCTCTACAAACAATTCTTTCACCTCTTTCATGTGTTTTGCAGAAACGTTACCGTGTGAGCAATCAGTGGACAAACGACGTGCACAAACGAGTCACTGCCGACGTGCACAGACGAGTCACTATCGACTTGTACCAATGAGCAGCTCTCTGGGGAACAAGGAAAAAAGCCAATCAAGGCAAGCTCAAATCTGTCAAGAGTTCCTGATATTCAAAGCTGAACAAACTCGCTTCGGCCTGCTCAACTTCAGCCTCTGCTGCCGCAACGCGGTCAGAGGCAAGCTTGATGCGCCTGATCAATCTGACAATACCAGCTGGAGAGAATCAGCCCTCTGTGCAAAAGCATTCAGAAGAGGAGTCACAACGAAGATTTTGAAAAAATATCCAGATAGTTGGAGGCCATCGCTGTTAGGTTCCTTTTGCCTAAAAGTAAAGACTGCTCTTTTAAGACTTTCGTTGCCACTGAGGCATCCACTCTAACATCACAGACTGATCAGAGTCTGTGGGCTGAATCTTGGGCTTGATAAGCTGAGGTGTAATGATGGGCACTGGGGCAGGCCCTTGTGGCTTGTTTGCTTTGGAGGGTGGAGGCGCAGTAGGGGCAGTGGGTGTAGGTCCATTGGTCACAGGCTGCACCATGGCATCCATGACTTCCACCTGGGCGAAGCCGCGAAGAAAGTTGCCCACCAAAGGATCCGAAGCAAAAGGGACCTCCCCCTAATAGCAATGGCCTCCAACATAAGGGCGATGGCCTCCAACCTACTAGCTTCTTTGCTACTAGTATTAATGGCCTCCAACCTAGTAGGGATGGGGATCTCTAGAACGTTCAAAGCAATTGCATCTCTTAGGCATGCGGCAATCAGCAGTCCCTCTACACATTCTGCATCCCAGGGTACTCGCCATCCTCGACTTGGAGGAACCTGAAACATCATCAGAAATATCTCGTTGAAGTTGTTCGACTGGTCTTTTGAGTCGCAGGCTTTTGCTTTGTCTGCAGCTTCACTTTTTTCAACTGATCGAGACCATACTTGTTGACCTCCAACTGAATCACCAAACCACCAGCCGGAAAACTCCGGCCCGTCCTCGGTCGTAGCATCCCGCCCCAACACAAAGTGTTTTGGGGATTTGAACAGCCTGGCTATTCTTGTTTCTGATATTTTTAGATTGCATTCAAGGCTCTCTACTGTCCCAGAAGTACACGAAAACATTGACCTGAGGCAAGTATGAGGGATGTCAATCTTCAGTCATTCTGCTCCAGAGAGTTTTGAGTCTCACTTCGTTCAGATGTATGCCTTCAGTCATTCCACGTTCATTACTTTTATGATGCAAGGAATCAACGGTGCACCTCGTCCGAGTTCTCCAGTACCTAAGGCAGGGCACCGTCACGCGTCACTGGGTGGTGCAATACTCCCAAGCCTTCTGGTAGGTGGGATATCCGTGATTCACACCTGGAGACTCAAAGCATGTTCTTTGTAAAAAGACCTGATAGACCCCACGAACCCGAATGTGAGATATAAGTGAAAGGAGCGGATTGATATCAGACATGACATGGGACAGCAAATGAAAACCGATCGGATTATTATTCTTGCGTGCACGTTTTGCAACAGCACGGACTCACACAAACGCAGTTTCCACCGAAACCAATCTTGTGGGACACTTTTCGTGAAGGACTCTTGTCGAACACTCTACGACATTTGTGTGAGACATTCTTGTAAGACACTCTGTCGGATATTCGTGTGGGACACTCTTGCGGGACACTCTTGTAATACACTTGCGGAACACTCTTGTAAGACACTCTTGTGGGACACACTCTTGTGGGGCACTCTTGTCGGCCACTCTTGTGGGACGTTCTGGTAGAACACCCTTGTGGGACACTCTCGTGCGAGATGCTCTTGCGGGGCGCTCTTGTGTGTAACGTTTGTGGGACTCTTGTGTGTGTAACCTCTTGCAAGTCTCTTGTGCGACACTCTTGTAGGACACTTGTAACACACTCTTGTGGGACAACTCTGCTAGAACACTCTTGCAAGGCACTCTTGTGGGAAATTGTTCTAAGCATTCGCGCGCAACATTCTCGTCATGGAACACTCTTGTGGGGCAATATTGCGGAAAACTCTTCTGGGACACTCAGGTGCGTTACTCCCTTGTGGGACACTCTTGTCGGACACCCTCGTCTGACAATCTTGTGGCACACCCTTGTAGGGCTACTGCTACCAAGTACTAGTTCAATTGCCACCACCACCGCTGGTGCAACTAACTACTACTACTACTACTACTACTACTACTACTACTACTCCTGCTCCTGCTCCTGCTCCTGCTCCTGCTCCTGCTCCTGCTCCTGCTCCTGCTCCTGCTCCTGCT